TGTTGTTGTTGTGTAGATTCTTACGGAGCCTGGAACAAGAAGACTCTCCAGTCGGCCGTCCTCAGGTAGAACACGTTGGGTCTCTTGCTGTAATCGGCGGCTCTCATGGCGAGAGAGTGATGGATGGACACGGCGTTCTTCACGTCGTCCTCCGACAGCTCTCGCTCTGCACGGTACTCGTCCTGTCAGCCAATCACAGAGCAGCGTCATATCAGCATCAAAATAAGACGTTTATAAGACCTAATAAGGACTACACCTTGCTTCACTGACACCATTATAAAAATCTCAAATTAACAAGATATTATTTACAAGCACAAAATAAAACTTATTTTAACGCGATACGGAGCTTTTCTGTTTGTTTTTCATTTTATTGAGATTTTTATTCTTTAATAACACGAGACGCATCAACCAGATATTATGATCTGAATTATACAGATTTTGGAATAATTTCCTCGTTAGCAAAAATATTCATATTTTATATTGAAGAAGAAAACAACCATTGTTAATATTTTTGGTGTTTTCAAACACAAAACACTGCTGTTTTAATTTAAAATAATTATTTTATTCAAGTTAATGTATTTATATACTAATTAACTAGTTAATAAAAAAGATTGTTTCAAATGTATGGACATACATTTCAAGTTTTATTGTATAATACAATTATATCATGTTATAAATGAAAAACATTAAATAATAAATATGAAAATATGTCATTAAAACATATTGTTATAATGTGAAAATAAAGTCGTCAGAATGAGAAAATGTTTTTATTTCAATTAGAAACCAGATTCCTGCCGTACCTCTCCTGTCTATTGACACTAAATGTTTCAATTAAATTATTGAAATAGTGTAAATATTACTCAACAATTATAGTTTTTTATTAGCACACTTTCACTTCTCAGTATTATTTTTTATTCATTACACTTGTTATATAATGTAGTATATATATTGTACATGTCTTATGTCTCTATTTCCTATACATTGTTGTTGTATATTGTAATAAAATGCACATATTGTATCTGTTGTTTAGCAACCACCGTAAAGCAACGCCCCCCCCCGATGATTTATCATATTCATAAGTCTGATATAAAATTATATATTGTCTTTAATTTATCTTTATTTATATTTTTCTTTTCGTTTTATGCACCAATGTATTAAGACAAAGTCCTTGGCAATAAAACCGATTCTGATTCTGATTGATCTACTCAAAAGTAAAATCTTAATTATTTGGGAACCAAAACCACTCAAGTATCTTGCGTTCGGTCTCCTACAAAGAAAATCTACGAATGGTTGTATTGAATATAAAATATATAATGATGATTAAATATAAGTATAAAATGAAAGTTTTTAGCAGAAAAATGGTGTCGGATTAAATTAGGATCAGTTCTGTGTGGCTTTATCTCTCTCTCTGACCCAGATGTTTGTCCTCCTCTGATATCTATTCGATCTGGGACACACACAGTCAAAAATAGACACTGGCACACATGACAAACAGGAAGGACTGCTGGGAAATGCAGTCCATATGTTTACCTTCTGCAGGTAGAGCACCAGACCCTTCAACATGGCATAGAAAGACTTCCAACCCCTCTTCCCCCGTGGAGCTGAGAGAAACAAAGCATCATGGGATATTATACATCCAGCCTTTACCATAAATGATTGGGAGTTTTAGGAGAATGGCTACAAAACATGATTTTTCAGTTGTTTGGGGCTCAGAAACAACTAATAAACTATATTATATGACTATATTCAGAGTAAGGTAGGGTAAATGTGGGTGTCATCTGCATATTAATGATAGTTATTGTTTTAAATAATGTCGCCTAATGGAAACATGTACATTAACTATTAGAGGACCAAGGACTGAGCCTTGAGGAACTCCACACGTCATATTGGTTGACTCAGATCGGTCCCAACCAGTCAAATGGTGTTTTTATGAAGCACTACACCTCTTAAATCCCAAATAAATCTATTTGTATTTCTGTTACTGGAGTTTTATTACAGTTTGTTTATAAGGGAGTTACACTGCTGCTGCTTTTATCTCACGCAGCATCTCCTGCTTGCCTGAAAAATGCTCTATAAATTAGGGATGCTCAATAATGATCAGGGCTGATAAATTATTGTCCGATAAAGGAAAATTTACATTATTATAAATGATCCTGATAGTTAAATTACAGCCGATAAAAAGACACGTAAAACACGAAATAATTTTGTCATCTCATACCCAGCAAAAGGTCAAAGGTCAGAAAAAAAGAAAACCAAAGTTTCAAAATGTAAACCAAAAAAAAATATTTTGAACTCATTGTGATAATTACAATTAATTAAATCAATACACACGTAATGAAACAGGAATGTTAAATAAAAGATTCTGTGAACAAACAAACATTGAATAATCAGAAGAAGAACGTCGTACTTCTCTTTCCGTCAGGGTCGGCGTGGACTTTACGGACCAGGAAGCCGCTCTTGTAGAGCTCGCCATCGGCCTGCTGGGCGACGCCCACCAGCGGGTTCCCTCCACTCCCCAGTCGTTTCATGGTGTGGGAGGCAGAGTCTGTCCGAACGTCCGCCAGCTCCGACATGGACTTCCTCAACTCCTCCTCATCACTTCAGAAGACAGAGGGAAGAGCGTCATCCTTCAGTTGTAAAACTTTATATCAGAGTTTTTATTTTCTACAAAGAGATAGCTGAAGCTAAGCTAACTGGGGTTATCGGCTGGCTGTGTCTTGGCTGTACGGTGTGGGTCTGAGTGGTTCTGGTGTTGTCGCTTCGGTGTTTGGGTCTGTAGTTGGTCGCTGTAACGGTGTGGTCTTGGTTGTTTGGTCGCTGTACGGTGTTGGTACTGGTGTCGGTCGCTGGTAACGGGTGTGGTCTGGTCTGTCGTGTGGTCTGTGTCGGTCCTGATACGGTGTGGGATCTGGTGTCGGTCGCTGTACGGTGGTAACGTTCTAGGTGCGGTCGCTTACAGGTCGTGCGGTCTGGTGTCGTCGGCTGTACTGTGTGGTCTGGTGGTCGGGTCGCTGTTACCGGTAGGGTCTGGTGTAGTCTCTGCTTACGGGTGTGGTCTGGTGTCTGTCGCTGTACGTGTGGGTCTGGTTGTCGGTCGCTGTCACGGTTGGGGTCTGGTGTAGGGTCTCTGTTACGTTGTGGTTTTGGTTGGTAAGGCTCTGTACGGTGTGGGTCTGGGTCTCTTGTACGGGTGTGGTTTGGTGATCGGTCGCTGTACAGGTGGGGTCTGTGTCTGTCTCTGTACGGTGTGGGTCTCGTGTCTTCTGTACGGTGTGGGGTTTCTGGTGATCGGTCTCCTGTACGGGTGTGGTCGGTGTGGTTCGCTGTACGGTGTAGGGTCTGGTGGTTGGTCGCTGTACGGTTGGTCTGGTGGTTGGTCCTATGATACCGGTGTGGGTTCTGTCTCCTGTTACGTGTATGGTCTCGGTTGTTCGGTCGCTTGTACGTGGGTGGTGATCGGTCGCTGTAACCGTGTGGGTTCTTGGTGGTTGGGGTTGCTTCGTGTGTTCGCTGATGGTGAATTTATAAACAGCGAGCTAGTTAGTAGCATGGACTAATGGTCCACAATAAAAAATATAGGGAACATGCAGATAGTAACGTATTTCTAAATATGATTGTCCAGTATTTAGCCTTTCATGTTTGTTGCTGTTGGCGACGCCAGGGATGATGCAACAGGACGCTGACTGCAGTTCACTGAGCGGCCACTGGTGGCGCTGTTAGCTACAGTTTAATGACAGTTACATATAGGAGGTATATAGAGGTAAAATGTCCACAGATAAAATATTTTGAAGGATTAAAAACACTAGAATCGATCTGCATCAATTATCCAATAAAACATTATTAGGGTTAAAAGTTTGAGGAGGTTTATTAGAGTAGAAACACAGATTACCACCTACGCTAACATAACGAAACCTTCATTATCTCATCTCGTCTCATTTGTTCACATGGTGTATCTGATGCTACCTGATCCTGTGAGCTCGTCTCGTATCGTCGTTTACAAACAGCTGCAGAAGACGAGGAGTTAAATAAATAAATAAACAGGAGGGAGGACAGATGCTAACTGCATACAACACGCCTGTGTGTGTGTTTATGTATGTGTGTCCACAGTCAAGCATGGGCGTTGGGATGCTGACCTGTAATTACAGCGAGGAACGAAAGCAGGGAGCGGTTACCATGGCAACAGAGGCTTAAATAAGAGAGTCGGGGCAGCAGGGACACACACACACACACACACACACACACACACAGAAATGTACAGACGGAGCTTAAACACACACTTCAGATGTTTGTGTTGAACCAGTAGAAACCAGCTTCATACTGGAGAACTTACATGGTCCACTGAAGCTTCTCATTCTTGATGGAGCTGTAGAGCGTCTGCAGAGACACAACACACAGTCAGACACATACATACATATGTGAGTGTGAGTGTGTGTGATTGGGGGATCCCTGGCATTTAGTTTGACACACAGTCGAGTTTTAACTTTAACCTGCAGATATGAAACATAAACGCAGATTAATGAGCCACAGTCTGTTCATTTCACACGTTTCTCCTCCTGTCGTCCAACAACAGGCTCAGAAACGTACAACGGAGTATCGGAGGATGAGGAACCTGAGGAGGCTGAGGAGGAAGGTTAATTATTTTGCATTTTGAGAATAAAGTCAAATAAAGATTCGGCTTTGTGTAAATACAGCTAGTGATTAAAACAAAACAGGAACAACTGGAAATAACTGAGTATCAAATATATCCAAACAGCTTTAAACCACTGGTTCAATTAAATAAGTAAAGGATAATGCTCGTCGCGCTGTCCATTATCAGGAATTAATGGATGTCCATTAATGCCTGATAATGGACACCTCGGAGGGCATTATCACGCTTATACCATGGTCACCTGCCAAACAAAACTTTCTTTTTTTCCTTTAAAATCTAAAGTTTTTTACAAGCACCTGAAACCCTGAGGAATCATCACCATCCCATAATGTTTGAATGCAATGGAAATGTTGTTCACTGCTCCAGTAAATAGGACAAACTATAGATACGACGCAACGGGAGATATTTCTAGTTCCCTCCACTCAGAGAGCTAACGTTACGCTACGAGACAGAGAGCTAACGCTACGCTACAATATGTACAATTTTTCTTTGGATCAGTTTAAACAAACTTCTCTGCAACCAGTTTTTGCCTTTTTCTTCTGGTGTTTTTTGTAGACTTTTTATCCAGTTTGGGCTTTTAAACTGATAATAATCGTAGTTTTAGGTTTTAAGTTTAGCTCGTGATAAACAGCAAAGTGGAAACAACTGGAAACTATTAATAATCTACTGTAACATATAAACCTTCATACAGACAGTAAATATAATGAATCATATTTTCTGTGAATAACTTCCAGAGCACTTCCAGGTTTAACTGCCTGCTGTTTATATCAAACGTTCTGCGGTGTCAGCACCCTCTCGTGGTCCGTAACTAAAATAAAAATGAATACGTGTGCACAACGACCGTCTGACCTTCTTCTTGCGGCTCTGCCGGTGCTGCTGTGCATCCTGGGTTTTCCCCAGCAGGTCGGGGAAGGCCAGCGGCTTCAGGGAGCGAGAGCGGGGGGTTCTGGGATACCTGAACGGGTCGGTGTCTCTCGAGTCCCGCCCGCTCCGGACCGAGCACAGCGACCGCGACCGCATGCGGCCTGACGAGTGGATGCTGTTGACGCCGATCATCGTGGAGAGTTGAGAGGAATTGATTTCAGTCCGACTGAACTTCAGAGAGTTTGAGATCCAGAGAAAGTCTTTTATTAATTATTAATTATATGTTATTAATTAAGAAGGTCCACAGGTTCCTCTACGAGGTGTTTACAGGAGCCGTTTGGTCCAGTTTTCTCTACAAAATATCAACACGAATCAGATTCCACCTTGAACACTTGATCCAGCTTTAAAGGCAAATTAAAAGCTCGTCAGATGAGAAGCTGCGGCTCTATTCATTATGCATAAAAACACAACGGGGTCTCATCCGGCTCATAATCGCTCAGGTGTTTGGAGGCTAAACGACAAAAACAAAAAGATGCTGCCAACAAACAGAGCTGCTGCGTTTGAGATCCTCCAGGAGTCCTTTTAACGCTGAAACATTCAAACTGATGGAACTTTATACGAAGAGTTTATCAGTCACAATAAAGGCTGCAGATGATGATTATAAGGACAAAAACGGAAACATTTGCTGATATAAAACTTTACATTTGAAATGTTTAGAAACAAATCGAGTTTATATTACAGCCAATAGTTTTGTTGTCAAAGTCGACTTCCTGTCCACGTCACATCGACAAACTCCAAACTGTTTAATCCCTCAGTGATTCATCAGCTCACACTCCTGCAGAAAAACATCCACAGCCTCTTCTTCCTCTCTCGGTTTAGCAGTTTTCAGACGGGCTGTTGAACGCAGCCTCCTGATGCTGCAGCGGCGGCGGTGGCGGCGTTGGAGGAGAATCCCAGGACTGCAAATAAAGCTGCGTGACGGAGGAAACGCATCAGCAGCGCCGGCGGCTCTCACATCCAAAACACTCGCCAGAAAAAAAAGCGAAAAGAAAAGAAAGAGAAAACGAGGAAGGCTGGGGCGAGCGAGCACACCCACACATGCAGACAGAGAGAGAGAGAGAGAGACAGAGAGAGAGAGAGAGAGACAGAGAGAGAGACACAGAGAGAGAGACAGAGAGAGAGAGAGACAGAGAGAGAGACAGA